GTATTACAGATGTCCTCCTTTTTCCCCCCATTGATCACCTCTACCCAGCATCCACCCCTGCCCCCCCCAAGCCTTCTCCACACTATTATCCGTGTCCATGAGCTATGCATATATCCATGTAAGTTCTTGGATTAATGTCTCCCCACCACTCCCCCAAAACCACCTTCCCTCTGAGATTCCTCGGTCTATGCTTCTATGTCTTTGGATCTGTTTTGTACACCAGATTTTTTTTTTGTTCATTTAATTCCACATATGAGTGAGATCATGTAAAACTGAATCAGGAAGAATCAGAAAACCTGAATAGGCCAACAACAACTGATGAAATCGAAGCAGTAATCAAAAAACACCAGCACACAAAAAAGCTCTGGTCTGGACAGCTTCACAGGGGAGCTTTACCAAGCATTCTACTTCTTATTATAGCAGTCCCTTTAATATTTCTTGCAATGTTGGTTTGGTGCTGATAAACNATAGTTTTGGTTTCAGATCCTTGCTTGTTTTCATTTCCTTGAATACTTTGTGCCATTTTCTTCCGGCCTGTAGTGTTTCTGATGAGAAATCACCTGACAGCCTTATAGGAGCTGCTTTGTAGGTAGCAGCTTGCTTTTTTTCTTCTTGCGTTTAAGATTCTCTTTGTCTTGAATTTTTGGCATTTTAATTATGTGTCTGGGCTTGGGCCTCTTTGGGTTCTTCTTGCTTGGGACACTGTGCCCCCCTGAACTTGTTTGACTTTTCCCTTCACTAGGTTAATGAAGTTTTGTGCCATTATTTCTTTAAACATGTTCTCTATACCTGGGTCACTTTTATTCCCTTCTGGTATTCCTCTGATGGGAATATTGTTATGTTTCATGTTATCCCACAGCTCCCTTAAGCTGTAATCCTATTTTACTTGTTTTTTCTTTTTGGATCTCTGATTGAGTGCTTTTTCTACCCTGTCTCCTAATTCACTGATCTGCTCTTCGGTTTCCTCTAATCAGCTGTTTATCCCTTTCAATATATTCTCTATTTCTGCTATGTGATTCTTAATTTCCTTCATAATTTCCCTATCTTTTCTCACCATCTTTACAATCAGCATTCTGAACTCTATATCTGATAGATTGTTTATTTCCATTTCATTTAGCTCTTCTTCTGGAGAATTCTGTTCTTTCACCTGGGGCTTGTTTCTTTGCCTCCCCATTTTGAATGCCTGTTTGGGTTTGTTTCTATGTATTAGGTAGAGACGCTTTTTTTGGAGGGTCTCTGGTGCAGACCAATGTCAGATGCTGTTTGTGACTGGCCTTGAGTACCTTGTTTGGAGCTATCAGTGATCCACAGTTCACGGCTCCCTCTTCTCATTCTGGATGTATTTGGAAAGGGCCAAGATGTGCACCAAGTTCTGCTTTTCCAATCCCCAGGTCCAGAAGCAGATCAGGCAAAGACTCAAAGCACTCAGAGATCCACCTCTTCTTGCAGGTTGATTGTTATTCTGAGTCTTTTAATGAGCCTCAGGCTGTAGACCACAACAAGGTGTAAAGTCCATCGGGTGGGGCAATTCTTTCACCCCCTCCCCCAAGGCAAAAGCTGCCTGGATAGTAAAGGTATGCCTGAGAAATATGTCCTCTGCAGTATGGGGGAATGACTCAGCACAGGAAACCAGATGGCTGCCCTCCAAGCTCTATCCCCAGAACCAGCATCCTGGATTTTCCTGATACAGCTCTAGCCCACTCTGCCCTCCCTCTGCTGGATCCCAAAGTGAGTGGCTGCACACAGAACTTTGTGCATTGGCCCTTTAAGAGGGTGCCTGCATTTCCAACCATCTCCCTCTGGCAGACAGAAACCCCGCTTATTTTCACAGCCAGATGCTATCTGAGTACCTTTCTCAGTTCTACTGCTCTGGTCTGGGGTGCCCAGCTTGGGGTTTAGAAGCCAGAGTTCTCACTGGGAACCCCCCACAGCTGAGATATCTCTCCAGAGCTTCAGCTGTTACCTGTGGTGGCCCAGCCTGCCCTCTTGTGCTTCTGTACTTCCTACCAGTCTCTGTGCAGTCTCCACTTTATGTCCTTGGTTATATGTCCAGTTCGTCTTCAGTTGATTATCCAAGATGGTTTTTCTGTATTTTAGTTGTAATTCCAGTTTGGTCCTGGGAAAGTGTCAGTGTAGCTTCCACTTGATCCACCGCCGCCTTGGAATCCTGATGGAATATTCTGTAGAATGGAGATGGGATCAATCACTAAAGCCCTGAGACTGAGAGTGAGCTGGGGTATTACCAGTGGTTTTGGCTGCAAAACTGGACCTCGGTTCTCGAGTTCAACAAGGAAAGAATTCAGAGCCAAGAACTCAAATTATAAGAGGTAGCAGAAGTGAGCCAGCCGGGCTTCTGAAACAAGTTACAGAAGCAAAAGAAGGACCTTGAAGATTAGGAGGGGGAAAGACAAAGGTAATACGCCTAGGGGAGGAGAAGATAGAAATGGGCAGACATGCTCCTCAGAGGGAGAATCAAACTGTTTGGTTTTAAATAAGAAAGTAAATAGGAAAAAATCCTCATACAATATGAGTTAATTGGGACATTTTATCCTAATCCATTGCTTTGATTTTATATTGAAAGGTGGGATCCCTAGAGCTTATTTATCAGAAAAGCCTACATGGGCTCATATAACTGAATATGTTATCCTTGATTAGCTAGTCTAAGAATTCTTAAATGTGAGGCCCTGACTTGCTACATCAGAATCACCACACGTTTGTTTAAGAGACCTATTTGTAGGACTCACCCAGACCTCCTGAGTCAGAATCTAGGGATGTTGCATAGAAGTCCATTTGTATCATATGTTTCTCGTGCTTACCTGAGCTTGGAACCCCTAGCCAGCCACCCCATTTTATAAATGGGGAAATAATCCTAACTCTGAGTGAATCATCCAACTTTAGATAAATATTAGTCATGGAGCTTAAGCTGTACAGAAATTCTTTTTTTTTTTTTTTTAATATCTTTATTGATTCCAGAGAGAGGAAAGGAAAGGGAGATAGAGAGAGATAGAAACATCAATGATGAGAGATTCATTGATCGAGCCCACAACCCGGGCATGTGCCCTGACTGGGAATTGAACCCTGATCACCTGGATCCTAGGTCGACGCTCAACAGCTGAGCCACGCCTGGCCGGGCGAGCTGTATAGAAATTCTGATTTTTATTTTAGTGTCTTTGTTCTCTTCCTCCTTTAATTGTTGTTAGAAATAGATAAGCCTCCAACTTGCAAAAATCAGGTAAGAGGACTTCAAGATAGTTGTAGTCAATGAAGACACACCAGCGTAAGTTTCCATCTCCCAACGTTTCCTCCTAAAATAAGACAGAATAACATGAAAGAAAAAAATAAAACTACACCAAAACCATGACCTTAGCATAACTTCAAGATCAAGGATGCCCAAACTTCAGAATAACTACGTAAAAAGAGAAAAAAGACACCAAGTCCTTGTGTGGTATCTTTTATGGTCCTGCCTCACACAGCCCTGCTACAAGGCTTTATAAAGGCAGATCAGTAAAAACTGGAGAAGGGGAGAACTAGCACTGAAACTCAAGGTTGGTCTAAAACCAACACCAGAAAACTACACTCATCCCAAGAACAAAAATACTAAAAAGATCAAATAGATCAGATCATTAACTACAGATATGCATGATTCAAAACACATCGTTCCTGGGAAAGAAAAAAGACAAAAAGAAGGGAGAAGTGCCCTTTATCAGTTGAGTTGTGAAGGATAAAGCATGTAATCATTTGGGTTCGTCAGGAGAGAGACTACATAGTAATTTGAACAAGGAAAGGATCATTACCTATAACACGGAGCTGGAATCACGTGGGATTGACTTATAAGAAGGAGAGAGAACTGTAAATAATACAGGAATAGCAAATATAAAGTGCAGCTCCTACTCCTAAGGCCAAGATTAAGCATCCAAACAAAGCTCCCCCAGCCAGGACCCCAGGGCTGAGGTGAGTACTGACCTTGTTGAAGAAGTTATGTCCATCCTTCGTTGGATAGAAGTCACTCTGATGCCACACTGGTAAAATTTGCTGGAAGTCTGCCCTCTGGGGTACCAAAGAAAGCTATTTACGGGGGGTGTCTCACCAGCCACACTCTGCTACAAAACTTCTGGATAAAGGGCATTGCTCAGGAAAGCTGTTAGTTGCTGCTGTCTGTGTGAGACAGGCCCTGAAGAGGCTGCAGTGCTGCAGGATCCTTGCACTGGGGAAAGCCTCATGTGCTGGAGAAGCTTGCCAAGCTGTATACTAGAACCCAAAAGAGCACTTTCCTCCTGCGGTTTCTTTCCAGTGCTGTCTGCTAACACAGCTCCCGTGCCAGCTAGCAAAGGAAAACATCTAAAGGGCTCAGATCTACTTTCACAGAACAGGCAAAAAAGATGAATTTGGAGTTGAAAGGTAATAAATCAATAATTGCACAGGAGCAAAAGGAGAAAAAATTTAATTACATTTAAGAATGTATAAAATCAGAGGACACACATATCTCCCCTGACCACAAAAACAAATAAATATCCACTTAAGTGTTTGAACTTTGCTGTACTAACAGAAGACAGCACTAAACTATGAATCTTGTAAAATACTTCAATAACACAAAAATTAACAGGAAAAAGATTTTAAAGTTCCATAAAGCATTATAGTAAAAAAATCAGAAAAGAAAATTTAATACATAGTAACTAAGGAAATTTTCTCAGAAAAACAACCACGTGGTGATGGGGGGGGGGG